TGGATGTTTCTGAGCTTCAGCAAAGCCTGATAATCTGCCATCAATTGATAACAGGTGTGTGAAAGCTGGAGAACATCTAGAACATGCAGAGCAGTGAGCCTTAAGGACCAGGATGAAAAACACTGCATTAGAGCATGTTGTCTGTCGCCTGTTTGTGTCATCACAGTTTAGCTTCATAGTGCGGTCAGATGTAGAAATATGAATACAGTTCATTTACAGGCAGTTTTTCTAGAAGTTTTCTGCTTATTCATCCACATTAAGATCAGCTGGGTCTCTATTCTTTAAATAATTATTGTTTGTGTGGATAAGGCCTCTGATTCAAATATAGCTGCTTGTAAAAGGATCACGAGGTACTCTGAACATACTGAACATACTGAACATGCATAAGGCTTCTCTTTCTAATCATGCTATAGAAGTTTTTTTTTCTGCAATTAATTCTAAAAGATTTTTCTTCTGTTCTTTTCTGTCTTTGCTGTGGATCGATAAACCGACTGGATGCTGATTAGCTTCAGGTAATCCTCTTTTCATTCTCATCCATTATTATTCCAAACCATATGGAGTTTATTGAACATTTGCAAACACATTTTATTGGGATTTTCTTTGATCTAACAAACTCTACATATAGCCCATGAAATGTCAGCTAAATAAACAGTAAACGTATCTGAAAGGTGTAACAGGAATTTCTACTCTCTAGGACACGCCCCCTTTTCATTTGCATATTGAGACAGAAATGCATACAGAAATGTTAAAAGGGAAGGCAGAAATGTAAAAAAAATATAAAGTCAAAAAAATAAATTAGGTAAATATTACAAAGGCAAATAAATAAAGAAGCTAATTAAAAGAGTTATATATATATTTATGTCTCACTGTATAATTTAATTTCTACTTACATTTATTTGTTTATTGTGTTTTTGTTGGCAATTAATTTTATGCTTATATATTTACTGAGCATTTATTTATTTATTTTTAAATATGGCAGAGTTGGTCCTCCATAGGCGTGCGGAGGAGTAGCAGAGGATGTGGAACAGTATGTGACGTATGTGAGCGGGGCGGAGCGCTGATGTGGGATATGGAATCTGGGGGCAACAAATGGCAAAAAAGAAATACTTAAGAACTCAAATACAAAAAAAAAATAAAATAAAACCAAATGGAAATAAAAGCAATGAAAAATAAAAGATAAAATTTAAACAGAACCAAAACCATGACATCTTGACTCTAAATTAAAAGGTACCTCCATCGCCTGTTAACAGGCCAGAAAAGAAGAGCAGTGTCACCAGGAGATTTATGTTCTACTTGATGTGATTCACCAACGAGCTGTTCCGATCTAAACCTGCAGGGGGAGCACTGACGCTCTCAAATCAATAATAAGACATTTTAATTGTTGACATATCAATTATAAACAGACAACAAAAATACAGTTACCTTCTGAAAAAGAAACATGGTTGATTCATTATTTACTAAAAAGCTGAGTTTTTCAGAATAGTTTTTCTTTTTTCTTAAAGGTTGAAAAAAAGGCTGCTAAGTATATTTTCAGCTGAGATATAATAAATGATAAATAAAGAAAGGTCGTTTATTACAAATAGCAGCAGAGTGCAGGAGAGCAGTAGAGTTTGACTTAAAGCTGATGAGGTAGAAAAAGAACCAAACAAAAGTGATAATGTTTTTATTTTCAGATGGGGAGAAACGTTTGTTTTCTGCATCTTTTTTCCAGTTTCTAGCTGATGAAAAAAAACCAAAATTAAATTTCTCTATCCTATTTAATCAAATTGAAAATATGAAAAAAATCTTAAATGATTTCATGTTGAGGAAGAGAAATAAGTAATAATCCAAGCTCCTAATATTAGTTAATTTAAATTAGTTTATAGTATTATATTTTACCTAGATAGAATTGATACATTAAAGAGCAAAACTTTAAGTATTCTTTATTTTGTTGCAAAGAAATAAAATATTTTGGTAAAAAAAGTTAATTAACAGAAGGATAATAATCAGTTAGAATAATGATTTTATTGAAAAAGTAATCTTTAGCAGCAACGCTGATACAAAGATACGTTCACACATTGTGTGGATCTTATCCTGAACATGGGAGGAAAAGCTGTACATGATTACATGCTTGTTAATGTTTTGTTTTTTTTTATTTCGAACATGCAAGAGAAAAAAAACAAAAAAAAAACAATAAAACAATGTTTAAAAACATTGGAGAGAAAAACAACAAACAGGGTACCCTTCTTTCCTAAATTAATATACCTCTATTACATGTGTGAAAAGGAGTAGGAAGAAGTAAAACTTTTGTGCTCCTGCCCCTTTAATGTTGAGACTCTTTTAGCTCCATAGCAGACATCCCAACTCTCCCGGAAGTTCCAGGAGAATTATACATCATTTTGACTAACTCTAAGTTAAAACTACTGTTTTCTACAAAATTTGAATTAGAACTCAAGAAAAACTTTTAAATTCATCTGTAAAAAATTAGAGGATTTTTTTTATTCGTTGTGAAAAAAAAAAACATTTATCAGATGAAAACTGGGATCATATATCAATCCCACTGAAGCTTTCACCTTATTGTTTTTGAATAATTAGTGAAACAGAATTTGTAAAGAAACAGAATGAAATAGATCCAAAGGACCAATCAGTAACATGTCTGTTCCAGTGCATCATCGTTAGAATTTCTGGCCCCGTTGGCCCCTGTCTAGCACCGGCCATGGTGAGGAATGATGTCATCGTGGCGAGGTGCACTGAATGCTGAAGTTCCATGAAAAACAGAAAGCACAGCCGATGTTCAAGGCTACAAGACTGAAAGTATTGAAAATAAAAGACCAATACTGCTCTGTTTAGTGTTTAAGAAATTACTGTTAGCCAATAAACAAGAAGTTGCTGGCTTTAAGTGTGTATGTATGGGGCATGGTGCGGTACCCGGTGGGAAGGGGGGGGTTAAGCATCTCCCTGAAATGAGTTTTTGGAACTTGGGGTGTCTGCCATAAGCCTTTGCCTTGAACCAATGAATGTTTAGGGTTAGTTTGGTTTAATTTGCCATAATCCTTCTAAATGCATAAGCTGTTAGCTCCTACACTCCAAAAACACGGATGACGGTTTTATTTGCTTTTCTTAACTGCTTTCAGATTAGATGTGTTCTTTCTGTGGAGCATCAAGACTCCATTTCTCCATTCTTTTCCTTCATATTGCCTGGATAGACTCCCCCTCCACCAAGTTTAAAATGTTTCTGCTTTTTGAATGTTTGTACAGGCTCCTTTCAATCCTACTCCGCTTTGTTATCATACTTCTGACCCGGGTCAAATGAGCCAACAACAGTTTTAATACAGTAGTACAGTAGGGATGCACGATATAATCA